TGACTGCTTCCCAAAGATCCAATCAGTGGTAGATCACATTCGCACATGCTTTCCATCGGAGTCGGTCCATGCGCCTCTTCGAAGTCTTGTAATTGTAAGCCTTTTTCCTGGCAGGACCGATCGTTTGGTGATCGGGCTCAAGGAGTCGGGTCCAAACGGCTTTCCCAGATCACTCACCATGTTCACACCATCCCTCCGTTCACCATGTTCTGCACAGAAGTGGAACTGGAGCGTGTTCCGTTTAATAAGACTTCGCATTGAACACCATTGAACATTCAGTTGTCTGTGTGGCAAACATTTTTCACAATATATATATATATATCACCTATATGGTCAACATGCCGTGTAAAGGCCCCACGAAGGCCGAGGGCCGACGGCCGCCGGGCCTCCATCGATCCATGGTGTCGTTCTTTCCCTTCTCATCTTGCTTCACGGTGTCTAAGGTATCCATGACCACGCCACGAACCACTTCCTGGAGCTGCTAGCAGCTAGCAGCTAGCTTGCTGCTCTTGGCAAAGAAGGCAAGAAATTGGCATGTCCATAGTCCATGACTGTCAATGGCTTTTGCCCCCCTTTTTTGAATCTGTTTGATGCAAATGTCCAAGCCAAGGATCATCAGGAATAACCTTTCTGTTCCGGATTCCCCTGCGTTTGGGCAATTGACCAAATTGCCAGCTCAGAGGGCAAACTATCGTTCGCTCATTATGAACCGTTCGTGGCAGACCCAGATCCGCTGCCGCGTCCAAGTGGCCAAGACGTTGGTCTTCTTCTCCGTGGTTTTGAACAACCTCAGCAGGGCCCTCTTCAGGACGTTTCAGGACATAGGACAAAAAGGACAAAAAGGACAAGACGAGTGAGTCCTTCTCTAGAATAAGGACCAATCCAGTGCTCATGCAGAGGCCGTGTTTGTTGTTTTTTCATCCATGCATGCCATGCGCCCCCCCCAAAAAAGCACGCATCACATGGTGGCCGGCCTAGATCTTTTCGAGTCATTCCCAAGTAGGATCAAGGGATTGACGGTGCACAGGTTCTTACCCTGAGATCCAGGAGCCTAAAACGGGGATTGGACATTCTGTTGAGGGAAACCAAAGCCTCTGCAAGATTTCTTCAAGAACAGGCCCGAACATAAATTAGGTCAAGGCCCAAGCGTGCAAGTACACAGGAGGTGGTTGGAGAAGCCTTGTCCCTTATGAGCAGCCACTTAGGGAGGACCTTTCGATGCAAACCGTGCGGGTCCAGTTCGCCCAATCTCCCAACTCCATGTCAGACTGGCGCCCTGACCTCCCTGATCCTCACTGTTCATGTGGGGAATATCTTGAATAACACTCACATTGTATATGAACATCACATGGGAGACGGAGTAGTGAGATGAAAAGTCAAGAACGAAGTGTGAGGAGAGAAGGTATATGAGGCGGTTGTGCTAAGACGTGTAGTATAAGTGATGATGTGATGGACGAGGATGAGAAGGAGGGGAGGGAGGAGGTGTGTATGAGTGAGTGAGTGAGTGAGTGAGTGAGTGAGTGAGTGGAGTGAGTGAGTGGAGTGAGTAAGTGCAGTGAGTGAGTGGATTGAGTGAGTGAGTGAGTGAGTGAGTGAGTGAGTGCGATTCGCAGCCTGTCACAACCATTGCTTTGCAAATCACAATGGCAGTAACGCACAGAACCGCAGGGGGCCCAGCGGCGACAACGCGCGCCGCAGCCCCTTCTGGAGGCTCTGGGTACTGCGCCTGCCACTGCAGAGAGCGAGGGGGGCCCAGCGGCGACAACGCGCGCCGCAGCCCCTTCTGGAGGCTCTGGGTACTGC